CTGCCGTCAGGCAGCGTCCTGGGGCTGCCCCCAGACCTGGAGGGACCAAATCCCTTTCTCCGGTGGTGGCTTTGGCGCTGCCGGATGCGTCCTTGGAAAGGCAAGGGAAGCCAGGTAGCCAGAGCAGCACCGAAAGGGAGTCACGGTCCATTCTTGCGCCGGAGCCGCAATCCGGAGCGCTGCTGCTTCGGGGGGAAGGCTCCTGGGGAGGCAGATTGCTCCCTCCCAGGTAAAGCTCTTGGCTTCGGTCAGGGGGCCGCATGCCGCGGGCCGAGCCGAAAAGCGTGTCTTGGTGGGCCCTTCTCTGGCGTGAGCTTGGGGAAGTCGCTGCCCCTCGGTCGCAGGAGCTCTGATCCCCGCTGTGTTTCTAGGGGCTGGGTTTTCCTTCTGCTCGGGATGTCTAATTAGCGTTAGCAAAGCGCCGCTGTGCTCGCTCGCTCTCATCCCTCCCTTCCTCTTGTCCCCTCTTCCAGGAGAAGGAGAAGAAATACATGTTGCCTTTGGATAATTTGAAAATCAGGGACGTGGAGAAGGGATTTATGTCTAACAAGCACGTCTTTGCCATCTTCAACACAGAGCAAAGGTAAGGGCTGAGAGCAGGGGCAGTGGTGTCCGGGTACCTCCCGAAATCCCTTCGCTCTCTGGGTATCGCACCAGGCTCAAAACGCTGCCGAACGCCCTCCGTGGTTGAGGGGCTGATGATTTTGCCCTTCCCTCGGTCGTTGCTGGTCCAAACCCAGGCCGTGCGTCTGGCTTCCCCGTCCGTTTGGTGTCGTGCTCCGAGGCAGGAGCATCTGTGGTCTGGTGGGGGAGGATTTCTCCAGAGGAAGCAGCAGCTGCCAATATTTATATACACGTTCTGGAGGGATTTCAGGCTTCCTCGGGCTCCCTGGTGTTGAGGGCTCGTGGTGCTGGAGGCCTCGCCAGTGCTCTGCCGGGCCTCCCGTCCCCGACCCCTCCGTGGTCCTCACCCCCGGCTCTGCTCCTTCTCCCCTAGGAACGTGTACAAAGACCTCCGTCAGATTGAGCTGGCCTGCGACTCCCAAGAAGACGTGGACAGCTGGAAGGCCTCCTTCCTCCGAGCGGGAGTTTACCCAGAGAAAGACCAAGTAAACACTCCCTCTGACTTGTCCGAGCCCTCCCGGAGCAGGCTGGCCGAGGGGTGCTGTCTGAGACCAGCCCGGGGAGAGGCTGCCAGAGGAGCCTTCAGACTTGGGAGCTCTTGGCTTGGGTCCCGGTGTGTCACAGTAGGTTCTCGGATACCCTGGAAAATGCCGTGGTATCGCAGAAGAGGACGAACTCTGTAACTCTATGCCCGGCTGATGGATCTAGCCCTTCCTTCCGGGCTACGAAATAAACTCTTGTTTCGAAAAGCATCCGCGTAGGATGGAAATAGGTGGAAGGGACAGGGAATAAGCGTGGAGCAGAGGGGTTTCTTTCCGGGTCTGTCGGATCCCGACAGTAACTTGTGCCCTGCTTTCCCTGAGCAGACTGAGAACGAGGACGGCGCCCAGGAGAACACCTTCTCCATGGACCCTCAGCTGGAGCGCCAGGTGGAAACCATCCGCAACCTTGTCGACTCCTACGTCGGCATCATCAACAAGTCCATCCGGGACCTCATGCCAAAGACGATAATGCACCTCATGATAAACAATGTGAGTGGCTGCGCTCGGGGGCGGAGGGGAACCTCGGGCGGGAAGGGAGCTTCTGGGGCCGGGGATTTCGGGGTTCTCCGGGCAGCACACGCCGGGGAGGAGTCCTGGGCCCCCCCGCGGCGTTAGGGGTCGGATGGGCTGCGCCGCGCTCGTCGCCGAGCTAGAACCGAACAATGTGATTTGATGATCTTTCGGTTCTTAATTTTTATGCCTTTCTGCTTGAGCTGCTTGGCAGCGGCTTTGCTGAGAAGGCGCTTTGATTCTTGGCGTTTGCTCCCGCCTGGTTCTAGCAAACCGGGGACGCTGAACCGTCCTGCGAGTCCCGAGTCGCCGGGGCTCCACGCGCCTTCCGGAGCCGGGAGAGGTGTCTGGGTGCCCCTGCTGCCTCCGTGGCGTCGGGTCCTCCAGCTCCTACTCCTGCATCCACCAACCCACTGGGTTTCGTATCTCGGGGCTGACCTTCACCCGCTGTTTCTCTTTAGACCAAGGATTTCATCCACTCGGAGCTGCTGGCCTACCTGTACTCCTCTGCCGACCAGAACAGCCTGATGGAGGAGTCGGCCGACCAGGCGCAGAGGAGGGACGACATGCTGCGCATGTACCATGCCCTGAAAGAGGCCTTGAACATCATCGGGGATATCAGCAGCAGCACCGTCTCCACGCCAGTTCCCCCGCCCGTGGACGACACGTGGCTGCAGACGAGCAGCGGGCACAGGTAGGTTTCGGTGGGGACGGGATGCCCG